CCACTCATCCTTACCAATCACACCCTCACCAATCACCACTCACCCTCACTGCTCACCCTCACCATTCACCCTCACCACTCACCCTCACCATTCACCCTCACCACTTTCCCTCACCACTCTCCCTCACCACTCACCCTCACCACTCACCAGTCACGCTCACCACTCACCCTCACTACTCACCACTCACCCTCAACACTCACCTTCACCACTCACCCTCAACACTCACCCTCACCGCTCACCCCTCACCGCTCACCACTCACCCATCACCACTCACAACCGCCACTCACCCTCACCACTCATCCTCACCACTCACCCTCACAACAACCACTCACCCTCACCACTCACCCTGACCACTCATCCTCACCAATCACACCCTCACCAATCACCACTCACCCGCACTGATCACCCTCACCACTCACGCTCACCCTCACCACTCACCCCTCACTAATCATCACTCATAACCGCCACTCACCCTCACCACTCACCCTCAACACTCACCCTCACTACTCACCACTCATCCTCACCAATCACACCCTCAACAATCACCACTCACCCTCACCACTCACGCTCAACCCTCACCACTCACGCTCAACACTCACCCTCACCACTCACTCTTACCACTCACCCTCACAACTCACCCTCACCACTCACTCTCACCACTCACCACTCACCCCTCACAACAACCACTCACCCTCACCGCTCAGCACTCACCCTCACCAATCACCACTCACCCTCACCACTCACCCTCACCATTCACCCTCACCACTCACCCTCACCATTCACCCTCACCACTTTCCCTCACCACTCTCCCTCACCACTCACCCTCACCACTCACCAGTCACCCTCACCACTCACCCTCACCGCTCACAACTCAACCTGACCACTCACCACTCATCCTCACCAATCACATCCTCACCAATCACCACTCACCCTCACTGCTCACCCTCACCGCTCACCCTCACCACTCACCCTCACCACTCACGCTCACCCTCACCCCTCACTAATCACCACTCACAACCGCCACTCACCCTCACCACTAACCCTCACCACTCACCCTCACCACTCACTAATCACCTCTCAGAACCGTCACTCACCCTCACCACTCACTCTTACCACTCACCCTCACCACGCACCCTCACAACAACCACTCACCCTCACAACAACCACTCACCCTCACTACTCACCCTCACCACTCATCCTCACCAATCACACCCTCACCAATCACCACTCACTGCTCACCACTCAACCTCACCACTCACGCTCACCCTCACCACTCACCCCTCACTAATCACCACTAACAACCGCCACTCACCCTCCCCACTCACCACTCACCCTCACCAATCACCACTCACCCTCACCACTCACTACTCACCCTCACCACTCTCCCTCACCACTCTCCCTCACCACTCTCCCTCACCAGTTACGCTCACCACTCACCACTCACGCTCACCACTCACCCTCACTACTCACCCTAACCACTCACCCTCAACACTCACCCTCACCGCTCACCACTCACCCTCACCACTCACCCTGACCACTCACCACTCATCCTTACCAATCACACCCTCACCAATCACCACTCACCCTCACTGCTCACCCTCACTGCTCACCCTCACCCTAACCACTCACGCTCACCCTCACCACTCACCCCTCACTAATCACCACTCACAACCGCCACTCACCCTCACCACTCACCCCTTACCACTCACCCTCACTACTCATCCTCACCAATCACACCCTCAACAATCACCACTCACCTTCACCACTCACGCTCAACACTCACCCTCACCACTCATGCTCACCACTAACCCTCACCACTCACCCCTCACTAATCACCACTAACAACCGCCACTCACCCTCCCCACTCACCCTCACCCTCACCAATCACCACTCACCCTCACCACTCAACCTTACCCTCACCACTCTCCCCCTCACCACTCTCTCCCCCTCACCACTCTCTCCCCCTCACCACTCTCTCCCCCTCACCACTCTCTCCCCCTCACCACTCTCTCCCCCTCACCACTCTCTCCCCCTCACCACTCTCTCCCCCTCACCACTCTCTCCCCCTCACCACTCTCTCCCCCTCACCACTCTCTCCCCCTCACCACTCTCTCCCCTCACCACTCTCTCCCCCTCACCACTCTCTCCCCCTCACCACTCTCTCCCCCTCACCACTCTCTCCCCCTCACCACTCTCTCCCCCTCACCACTCTCTCCCCCTCACCACTCTCCCCCCTCACCACTCTCCCCCCCTCACCACTCTCCCCCCCTCACCACTCTCTCCCCCTCACCACTCTCTCCCCCTCACCACTCTCTCCCCCTCACCACTCTCTCCCCCTCACCACTCTCCCCCCCTCACCACTCTCTCCCCCTCACCACTCTCTCCCCCTCACCACTCTCCCCCCCTCACCACTCTCCCCCCCTCACCACTCTCTCCCCCTCACCACTCTCTCCCCCTCACCACTCTCTCCCCCTCACCACTCTCTCCCTCACCACATGTGAAGGGCGCTCCTAAAGGAATCTACAACCTTCGATGATTCCTTTGCGCGATTCAAAGAATCGATTCCTGGCGCATAGGAGATTTCCATTTTTAATTACAGAGTTTTATTTTCATTCGTATGTTATGTTTTAAAGTTTTCAGGAGTTTTTAATTATATTTTAGCCCCGGTCAACGCCGGATATTTCCCATTCGCAGCAGTTTATATCAACTCTATAACCAACTTATATTAAACGGAAATAAGGCGATTCTAAGTGAATCTACAACCTTCGATTCCTTTTCGCGATTCAGAGAATCGATTCTTGGCGCGGTCGGGTTTAGAGTTTTAATTACACAGTTGTATTTTCATTGGAATGTTATGTTTTAAAGTTTTCAGAAGATTTAAATGTATTTTTCCCCCGGGCAACGCTGGGTATATCGAGTTTATACCACAAATTCGTTGCCTGACAGAGTTGCGTGTCGAGGCCTAGTACCATGCAGAGCCTCTGGCCTCGCCTAGATTGCCCACCCGGCTCAGGCTGGGTACTGGGGCCGTTAACCCCCCCCCCCCCCCCGCGCTACAATAATACTGTCTAATCGCTATAATTTTATTATCTACCGACCCTATAATAGTAATTGCACACATTGGGGTGGGGGGGGGAGTGAAGAGGACGTGAAACTTTGATGAATTTACCTCAGAGTCGCGTGTTAATGCGTGCACATATTTTTAATGGTAATTCAAAATGGCGTCCACCCCGCAGCGAACGCGTTCCTATCCGTTGCCAGGGGCAACCGCCGTGGTCCGCGCCGGCCGGCGATAGTAAATAAATAAAGCGTTAAATAAATAAATAAAGATAAATCGCACTAAATCGATAATCGGTCCGATTTAAAGTTTAGAGACGAAAAATCGGAAATGCCTAAGTTTACCGCGGGGCCGGGGGCGTGCCCACCTGCAAAATTTAATCTCGCCGAACCCCACGGTCCGAGAGCTAAATCCCCCGGTAGGGAGCGTACGCGGACGGACGGACGGACAAAAAATGAATTATATAGGTTAGATACAGCACATCAACTGTATGGTCCTTCTGGCAGTGGATAATTTCATCTGCAATTATTTAAGACAGGCAGACTCCAGAATTTGGATAGTGTAAGAAATACTTTGATTTTGATATGGAGAGATTGATATATGAAAGAGGCATTCTTCATTTATTTTACTATTTATATTCTCCACAAGAATGCTAATTATTTTGAGTTGTGTTTATTATCATTTTGCGTCAAACTAGGATCTCGTAGCATAAAAGAAAAGGGTCGTTGCCTGTAAGATTGGGAGTTCTCCAGCAATGATTCATGCAAGCCTGACTGTTGATGAGACACTGTGTGTTGACACTGTTCCAGAGTTTGCTTGTCTTGAAACATGCTGCTAAAGTTATGCACTTCCAGAAGGCCGTGCACAGCTGATGGATTTTGTAATAAATATTTTTTATTTTATTTAGAGACGGATATGTAAAGGAGGCATTGTGTGTTTATTTATGTGGTTGCTTATCTTCTCCACAATAACGCTCATGATGTATTTACAGAAATGTTTCTTCTTCATAAGAGAGCAAAGATGGAAAGGTGGCGAAATTACTTATCGTTGTACTGTATTTGATACTTCACAGCATGGCAGTTGGAAACCACTTACAAATGTCTACAAAGTTGCAGACAGTCACGTACACGTTTCCTACAGCTCCCAATGTGAGTTTTGTGAAAACAAAGCATGACACAATTTCACAGCAAGAAAACTAGACATTTGCAGTAAAAAGACAGGAAAGCACACACCTAATTTCTCAGGAGCCTTGGGGTTCACTCGGGGGTCATCCTCATAAGAAGCTCTGCAGTGTTTTGATCAAAGTTAAAATACAATTTTACAGAATGTGTTGGCAGTGGTGCATTAGCACACATTAACGAAATATTAGAAACGCCTGTCATTAATGCTGCCCTGTAACAAACAAAAATGTACAGCAGCCTAACATTCTCGGCCACACACCATAGTTCGGCATGTGTTAGCTTACACGTATTTTCTTTTTGTTCATATATATGCATTGAAACGTTGTTAATGCCAAAGTTGGGGAATTTTTTTGTACTTTTTATTTCTGCCTCTTTCAATATATTCATAAACAAGCACATGACCAGGCCCTTTGTCAACCCACTGTTGAATGGGGGTGTCCCCTCACTGTTGGCTAGGGGGGCTATTTAACCATACTTCACCACACCGTTCAGGGTGGGGAGCATAGATGTGGAAGCATAGACGTCCAGTACACGAATGTTTTTTTTCTGCAGAGCCCTCTGCTGCCAACTCAACGTGGCCCCACGACAGCCTGTAACATGGGCGGTGGCACATACAGACACCATCTATGCACACAGCCCCACTTAGTGGGACAAAAAATCACCGTCGCGTTCTCTCAACTCGATCAAAGGCGCAGTTGGAAGCACGTGGCACGCTGGCCTCGGGGGAGAAAGCCTCCTGGCGCGCAGCCGCCCTCGCGTACCTGGTGAAGGTCCTGCTCGTGCAGCACCTTGCCCAGGTTGTAGAGGCAGCTCGCCACCGACGTCATGTGGGCCTGCGGGTCCTTGAGGCGCTCGTCGGGGATGTCGGCGCAGGCGCGGAACACGATTTGAGCCTCGCTCGCCTTGCCTTGGCTCACCAGCACGATGCCTGTGTTGAGGTACGCCGCTGGAGGGCCCACAGCCACCATTGCCGTCAAGTCAATGCGCACACACACGGCCAGAGACGATCCCCATTTAGCTCGCATGACCACGCGATGCTGTGAACGGAGAGTCTAGCGCGGGCGGGCAGGGCACGTAAGAGGTTAGGTTGATGTCTTCAGCAGCAAACGCAATGCTCAATCCAATGCACCACCACTAAACCTCGTGGGAACCTATATGCACAACAGATAAAGATTCCCCCATAGAGCTGTTGGGAAAAGTGCTCTTAGCGAGCACCCATGAAGGCCAATGGAGCACACAAGGGGTTGAATTACCAGCACCAAGTCCGGCTGCCTTTGTCTCTCCAGTGATGATGTTTACAGACTGCGGTTAAGTCGACCTAGGGGAGGCTCAGGACTGGTTTGGATAATCGTCACTGGTGTTTGCCATGAGAGTGAATCGAACGCGGGTCGCCAGGCTCGTAGCACAGCACACTACAACTCCCCACCCCCCCCCCCCCCCACATATATACACGTAAATACAGCCAAAAACTTACACACATATGCTCACAAAGTTACACAAACAGACACACATGCGTATACAAAAGACCAATGTCCCCTGTATAGTATACATAAACTGTGAGGGCAAGTGCTGTTAGTGATAACCTATTAAAGCCAGGTTGGATTTCGGGGGTTGGTTTAGCCAGAACTAACCCCGGTCACCTTTGTCTCCTCAGTGTTGATATTTACACATTGTACCAGGCACTAGGCTCAGTTGATCTAGGGCAGGCCTGGGACCAAAACCACTCATCACTAATGTTAGCCTTAGGCAGGAATCAAAATTAACTCATTGATGTTCATACCCCACTCGCGCTGACTCGCACGCTTCTTGTGACAGCCAAATGGCCAGAAACACAGCACAAAAAAAAACCGGCTCGGATGTGTCATCTGCCATTGCAATGATATGTGGGTTTCATTTTAAAATACTCACCATCATTTTTTCTTGTAAAGAGAGTAATCGTCATCTATACTCCTGCCGTGTACAAAACCTTGCACATTGCCTTGGGCAATTATCTCCATTTCACTTCTCAACAAAGCCCCCTGTTGTGACCGATACAGTTAATTTCATTGTCATGCTTGCGAGCACAGCACTTTAGACGAGCAAGAGGGAATCATGATTTATGTAAAAACAAAGAACAAATGCTCCAGCATACGACCTTAAAAGACAAGCCATCACATTCTCCAGGGATGCCACATTAAAGAGAAAGGAAGTTATGGAATATTCAAGTGAGTGCATCGTACATCTCAGAGGCATATGGATGAAAGCAGATACGCGAGTGTGCGGAAAGCCAACACGTTAGCAAAATAAGGCATACGTATGCGAGCCCAGTACACATTCATGTCAACAGCCAGCACAATGGCGATGGAGCTTTAAAGTTGGTTTACATTCAACAGACACGACACACTTAGGACATATTACTAGTTGCTTGCAGAAGCAATGGAAGGATGCAGGCTGAAAAGCACTTAGATTATTGTATTGGGGCAGTCACTCCTATAGTTGTTCAATCCTATCCATGCACAACATGGAAATATAAGTGTATTTTATACCATTTATACCTCAGCTTCCCTTATCTCTGGAGTAGCTTTTCTGACAAACGCTACACTTCTTACGAGGACAAAGCACTGTAGTGTGTGAATGAAGCACAGTTAATGTTGTCAATTGGCAATGCTTGTTCCCCCATTGGCAAGCTTGGTAAAATTACTATATTTAGCCCTGGAGCCACATGGGTGTGAGGGGCTCCCCTATGGAACCCAGGGTACAGCATCAATGCTTGGGTTAATGTGAGGGTCTTCTTAGCGATCAATGGACCGCCGAGACCCCACAGAAATAAGCCCAGCTACTCAGTCTCTAGCCCAGTGGCGTAACAGTTCAAAATACAAAAGACAACCTTTTCTATTTGTGCAATAATAATAATATGTGTATTTAAAACTAGTGTAGGAGGTTAATGATGGAGCTGGCTTCCCCTTTAAATCTATCTAACTACATTATGCCTAAATTATTCGGTTAGGATCAAAAACTGGAATGTTTGGACCACGATAACGTTTTGTATTCCTTTCATCATTATAAGATCCTTTGTTAAACAATTAGTTTCGTTCTTTCCGATGCCTTCCATAACAATCCATAGACTGGGTATCCCCTATTCCTAGTCTATGCTAAAACACGCACCCCAACCACGCCACGACATACCAGGCCCTGCTGGGGTAACCTGCTCTGCCCTTCACTCCAGCAACTTTTGCCTTTGTCGAATTCCTGCACACCCCCTTCCCAAATTGGATGTTGCTCCTTCTCCTCTAATGCCTCCACTGCTTTTAATGCCCCCTGCCCCACTCACAAACTGCTGACACCTTTTTCCACCCTTAACCCGAATGAAGTCTAGGCGAAAACAATCGTTCTTTTATCGTCCGCGTTTGACTGCATCCACGCCCCGTGTTCTTCCTCCGCTGCTTCCCACTCAGTTTTTTTCTCTGCCATGCACTCTCCGTTTGCCCATTCTCCCCACCCTCGGTGCAACGTCTCTTTCGACTTCATGAATCCGAATTGCACTGTGGTTGATGCGTACAACTGTGGGCCGGTACGCACGTTCACACGGCGCCATAGTAGCAAGAGCGGCGTGTGTGAGAGAGGGGGCGGCCTTTCCGGGCGTCCCTTCTGAGTAACAAAATTGTTACAAATGAAGCAAGCAGTGGCACCGGATCTTTGATGGGGAGATGCCGGGACGACAGCAGCAGAAGGGTGGGGACGAGGGGGGGGGGAGTTGGGCGTGGGGGGGGGGAGAGCAGCAGCATCACATCTTGCTCTGGCTCTATATCCTGATATATTCAGCCATTCTGCGCTACTCTACGGTTCAAGAGCCATGCATGCCTTGGTAACGCAGAACCTCGACTGTGACACACAGAGCCATTCCCGTCTTTTCTGAATCCACACCTTGCTAGAATGTTGTCCAAGTATTCTGCTAGTGTTATATATATATGTAAAATAAACCATGGTCTTGTCTAGAGACGCCTATTTATTCACACAAAAATGTAAATCCACATTGTTATTATAGTGCAGAACCACAAAGACTTACAGGCCAATGTTGGCCGGGCACCGATGGCCAGCTTGTAGTAGTACAATGCTTCATTGAGTCTGTTCTCCTCCTGGAGCAGCAGGCCTCTGTGAATTAAAGCACAACAATAACAATTTATCAAACACACGTGATACTTGACACATTACAGGTCTGGCTTTTAGATGCTAATGTTTGCAGTTGTGTGATGTTATTGCCTGACTATAGCATGTACAATGTGTATTCAATCATGAAGTAACCCATAAGAAACTACACTAACTTTTTGGGTAGCCTAACTCCAAGGTTTCCTCTATCATATGGTAACATAAGCTCCCCCCCTCAATCAAGTTTTTAAATTTCATCAATTCTAGAGCTCAAGGAGGTATGGCTTTTCTATATTTTCGGGCGTATTATATTGTGAGAGCCAACTTCAAATGGTTAGACCAGGGATCGGCAACCTACGGCTCCGGAGCCGCATGCGGCACTTTACGGGCTGCTTCTTGACGATATGTACGTATGTACAGTATGTACTCAGATGCATTGCGGCTCTTGAAATACTGAATTTTGTACCGAATTGGAAAGAAATGGCTCTTCTTGTTATTTTGGTTGCCGACCCCTGGGTTAGACCCTGCTTGTATTTGCATACTGAAGCGCGGGGACTCGGATACATTCCATGATTAGCCTATTCAGGGTCATGTTGGCTAGGTATTCATTTCCACATACGTATACACGCACATTACCTAGAGTAGTATCTTGAAACTGATGGAGGTGGCCTCCCCTTTAAACCTACCCATTAAGTCTTTCACAGTTTAAATTAATTTACAGTATATATTTTACAAAACACATAGGGTCAAGTTCACATATACTTTAAAGCCAGGGTATCCTAGATGCGTCGACTTAATATGGAAAACATACAAACGTGTGTTTGGTCATACTCAAATATTCAGAACATATGTTTATCCATGTTTTATACTTTAACCATGTGTTCTACAGTGATTATTCCTACCTCAGAAGTTTGTCTTATAGGCTTCCACCTAGAGGAGGTCTTAACTGAATATCAGAGAAGGTTTTTTTCACCTTTTCTCTTCATGGTCAGTCAGACTGAGAGTTTAAGGAACATAGGAGACCCAAGTATAATATTTGACTCCTGTTTCTATATTTTGTGTTTTCTTTATGATAATTTAAAAAAAGTGTATTATAAATTGATATTTGTCGAAACAACTTTTGTCTTGAGCCACAGTCTACCAAGGCAAACCACTAAATTGATTACTCTATTCTTGTTCATTACAACAAGTTAGTAAAAATTTGTATTTCATTAATAATTATCGTAATTTTGAGATTGCAGGGCATCTCAGGTCACTTTACACATGTTAAGCACTTTACATTACATCTCATCTCAAGCATTTGAAAGGGCACCCCCAGTGGCAGTTGTCCCTATGGGCATAAAGTGACTCAGTACATGGCTTGCGAGAGTATGCATTGAGTCTGGCAGTCAGGGTCGATGATTGCAATGCATATAATCCCAATGGAATATTTTAGTGGAACATTTCGAAAATGGAAAATTTGGACCCCAACACTGGAAACCAGTGACCTGCTTTTGCAAACAGCGTCAAGGGAACTTTAACGTCCACTGTGAACCAGACGGTGCGCAGTAACATAGCTACTGCACCGGCAGTAAATAACCAGGGTGGCCCACTGGATTCGAACCGTGAACCTCTGCAACAAACGGCTAATGCGCTTGTACAGAGCCACATCACCAAATCATACACATAGCTGCACACAAAATTGTTTCTATATGTGTGAAAATTGAGCTATCCTCGCATACACAATTTTTCTCTCAATCACATGCTCACCCAGTGTGCATTTAACCTCAATTTTTAACGACACCCTGCTATTCAACCAGAACAAGTCAGTTGAGTTTCTATGACTCAGTAAGCCATTCATTGCCAAGAGTGCCAAATAAAGCATCAAGAATGCTAGTGTACAGATCCGTGTGTTCTACAGCAGCCACCTGAGCATAATGGATTACATTTTCCTATCCCTCACCCCTTCCTTCAGCTGACTTTGAACTCATTTTGAGTAAAAAGCTTTGCTTGTGAAAGCTTTTTAATCATACAGAATAAACACCATTTAACGGTCACACCGCACTACACTTGTGTGCTATTGCTTGCACATTATGCAATGACAATTATATAAAATATTCTGAGGACAAACAGCAACCGCATTTGTAAGTGAAAAACACAACACGGAAGATAAATATATGTTTTTTTAACGATGGAACTTTGATTAAAAAACAAATGAAGAGCCTTCATTCAGATGAGAAAGTATCACTTCAATGACATGGTATATTGAAAAAGAAAATAGGTGTTCATATATATGCATTGCTGAACTCCTTATGATCAGGTATATACGACAGGGCATCATTATTTTGAGTGTTTTCTTGCAGCCTTTACCTATTAAATTGTCTTTATGTGTTGCTTAAGTCATAGGCAATGATAACATTGACTTAATTCTAGATTTGAAGCTTTCGTGACTGCAAGGATTCATACTCTTAGGTTTTTTCGGTAAAGTTACGTAGGTAAAAAATAAAAAAAATATATAAATAAAATAATAATAAATCAATAAAATCACGACGTTTAGGAGGCAACACAAGTCTCCGTCTTCAGGTGGGACCGTCACAGCTAAATTTACTGTATCAAAACAAGGACTTACCAATATGAAAAGAAGTAAACTTAAGATGGGCCAAGACTCAGAGGAGAGGACCAGACTAGTTTTAGAACCCAGTTTTCACTGCTGGTCAGGAATGAAAACCAGGCCCACCAGGATTTGAGGCACAATGTTATTTCCACTACATGTCATTGTCTACGCAGCAGAACCTCCATTAATCCACGTGGATATGGAGGCACCATTTTCACGGCTCTCACAATGCTTGGCGTACCGTGGTGGCTCGTTCTGTAATTCTCCCCCAAAAAATGTTTGCCCTGATTCGGGTGTTCCTTGGATTATGGGAGGAGTTGTGGCTGCACCACTCTGCTGATCTCTGAAAAATGTGCCGATTTTATAAGGAAAGCGTGTTAAAACATTTTTGGATACTATGTATTACTATTTTCCTACAGACCCCAAATGGGGAAATTCTTCCATATGGTCTATGCTAAAAGATTTAGCATTGCAAAGAAGCTATTGACAAAATGATAAGGATTCTAATGGCAAAGTAAATGGCAGCCTTTTAGCGATACTAATGGCTTGAAGCAATAAACAATTGATGGGAGACGGTGGCCTCTTATCAATGTGCATACCTTTCATAAAATTACAACAAATATTACAATAAATTACAACTAAAATATACAATAACAATATGCAGATGTAGTGTGCCGCAGATTACGGAATTAACTCCCAGAAGAGATCCAAAAATATCTGACATTTTTCGCAGAATTCAGGACCAATGGTCCCATGGACTACAGGAGCCAAACACCGGTAATCCGCAAATTATAGCAGTACCGACATTTGTGGATTTTGAGAGCATGGATCTTTGGCATTCTCCTGCATATACATACAATACAGAATAAAAAAAACTCCATTTAACTTGCAAACGCTGTTATTAACACCTATATAAGCCAACAAACGCACACACATATTTAAATATATAAGCCCTGACATTTACTCCAGAAAGCCTTTGGAAAGTAATCCTTGTTTTGACTTTAGTGCTCTGCTCTAATGTGCCAAAATCAAGCTCTTGGAAAAGTTCTGCCTTTTTTATCCTTTGGCACCCAAACACCTGACTGACTGACTGACTGTGCATGCTGTGGAGCCGTCTAAAGGGAATATGATCTCCCATAGTCCATGACAAATATATGGCCAGTGCATTCATCTGTAACTCACACCGGCTGTAACACACCGAAACATTTCCATGGATGGCAGTGATGAAAGACTATCAAGCATCGATTATGTGCGAACAGTACAACATTCTTCATTGTATATGGTAACATTTATTTTAGTTTTCTTGAAAATTTACTCATTTTATTCTGCTTTCTATATTTTCATTTCGACGAGTTCATTATATGTTTTGGATAACCCTTGTGTTGTATAAAGGTACTGTTGAATTCAACATGAGCATATATTTAAGTCAATGTCCATTAATGAACTGCCTCAGAGAAAATTTTGATTATTAATTTATTTTGTGGATTGGGGAGGCTTTCATCTACCCGTGGATTGACCAAGGCTGGTAATGATAATGATTTATTTTGCAGAGGAAACCCAAATGGCTACAGGTACATTATGGATACTGGAATTGATTCTGCTGTTTCAACTTTATTTAAGAGTATTTACAAAAATGGCATATACTCAAGCTTTAGTCACGAGTGGCTTTACGAATAGCATTCAAAAGTGTGGCTGTATTTGCCATTAAGCAATTTCTTCAATGCAAAAAAAAATGAGATTCGTGACCATTTCATTCCATAATTTAGAAATCTGCTCGTGAAGCAGCTCCAAGCACGTGGTACGCAAATGTCGGTCATCGTGCCAAACAACACGAAAATGCGTAAATCACCTTCGACTTGCTTACATCGTACTGTAGTCATTCTCACAAACAGTGGATAGGATTGGAGAACTTTACAAAGACGGATGCAAAGTCAAGCTCAATGCAAATATGACGAAGCCCGGTAAAAGTTTACATCAGTAAAAATTACCTGGAATCATATCCAACGGTGATTAAATTGTTCTAATGATGTGCAAAATTACCAAGGGTGGCACAGTCGGGTTTTTTACAATCGGGTTTAATTGTCTTTTTATATTAAACCCGATAATCTGAGATTGGGAGAAATCCGGTTTAACTGGTTCTAATTTCAGAACCGCACTTCTCAACGATGGGCTTCATCCATTCCAAGCTAAGGAATTCATTGGCGCCCACGATTGTGGAGAAGCTCGTGTTCATCAAGACCAACCTGCCCGCCGCATTCTACGACTACCCCGTGCCCGACGGCCCCGAGTACGATAGCAGCACCGAGGAAGCAGCCTAAACCTATCAGAGTTTCGTATTCATTAAACCAGGGTTTAATTCCCCGAAATCGGGTTTAATTGTATTGAAGAAAAAATCCGATGCCTGCCGCTGGAA